CAGTATGGTAGGGGCGTAACATTTCCGTCACACGCTTGAGGAATTCGTCCAATCACAACGCACTGGATAGCTGGTCAATCAGAGCACACCTCGCTTTTCAGACTGATGAGCTTTGTAAAAATCGACGCGTTTCAGAAAGGCGGGGCATAGAGGAGAAACAATAATGTACAGTGATCTGAAAATAATGTGTTTTTTGAACCTTAAACCGCATAAACACATTTCATTACACCAAATACACAAAATAATGTTCTTTTTAGCAACATCATATGATCCCTTTAATAAAAAATATCATTGTGTTGGTAATATTGTTCTGATTGTTGTGACAGTGCTTCTCAACTGGAGAGGTGTGACAATCATAGATCTTGTTCAGTTCGGATGAGTCGCGACACCAGATGTCGACGTGGACATGCCCTCGTTCTCAAAAACCATGAGAAAGAAAATATGACCCAGACTACATTAAATACAGATTCACAGTGAGGATAGACATCATTTGTGTGTGCTGTGCAGTGAATCACTGACTGTTGAGAGTCATCCAAACTGTCATGTCTGTGTCATGCTTATAATTTTCTATACTGTCGGGCCAATGTAGTTCATGCTAATATTATAAAACGGATAGTTACGGTCCTTGATTCTGATTGGTTGAGCCACGTTCGAAGCTGTTGTAAATTACTCTATAAACTAACATACACCTTTGTTTATGTTTGAGTAACATACACCTTTGTTTACGTTTGTGTGTTGCTTGGCAACCACTTTGTTGCAACCACAACGGTTTCTGAGGAACTACATTGTTTGGTGGAAGAATATGGTTTTTATTAATATCATTACACTTTATTTGCTCTGTTTTATTTTGTGAAACCATACTACGTATATGGAATAACCGTTTTATAAAAGCAATAATCCCCGTGAAGCCGTGGTTTACAGTGAATTTATAACCGCTTTGCGTCATACCTAACAACGGTCCTTAGCTGTTATAAATTCACTGTAAACCACAGCTTCACGGGGATTATTGCTTTATTATACAGTTTAATGTTCGATTTTAAGGACATCTCTGTTACTTTTGTATGATAGACAGTAGTCGTTCAGTGTGGAGTTGAGAAGCACTGCTCTGCATGCATTGAGAACAGACGTGCCTACCTTGATGAGCTACTTAAGAACAGAAAGAAGACAGACAAGAAACTTCATTACACGTTCTAATTGACAGCACAATGGGATAAAGCCAAAGACTATAGAATACCCAAGACGTGCCGCTCGTATAGTTTTGAATGGGGAAAATATGCAACACTCAATATGGCCGCTCTATCGAACGAAGCCCCGCCTTCTGAGCAAAAGAGCCAATCGCTAATCGGTAAAGTCAGCGTGTCACTGCAGCTGCCGTTAGAAGTCCCGGTTGCTATAGAAACAGTCAACGCTCTGAGACGTGCCTGAGAAATACTTCGCTATTTGAGCAAAGTAAACAACATTTATGATACAGTTGTTGTCAGATTTCATTGGTGATTTCAAATATGAAATTTAATCGTAAGCTTAGTGAACAGCCGCCGAGTGACATGACTTGATAAAGCACACTGACCCGTGCATTGATCTCTACAGTGACTCTGAGTTAAACTAAACTACTGTAAGACTGACGCTCATGTATGAAACAGCACAACACTTTATATGTGAGCCTGCATGGACTGGGTTAAGGACATGTACAGTAACAGCTGATTGAAAGACACACCAGCTGAAAATAAATCAAGATTTATTGCACTAATAACAAAGCAGTGTTTAGGGCTTACGATCCCATACGGAAATGCAATATATTACATATATTGCTCTATATCAAGAGTGATATTGCCATATATGTTACCAATAATTCTCACATACTGTACATACATTATCTGGGTAGATGAAGATATAAGTTTTTAACGTATACTGTATAAAATCACCATAGCAAAATTTGTATGTTCATATTTTGTATACTTTTGATTATTATTGACTGGTTTTACAATGGATATACATGTACATGAAATATATGTCCGAAAAGGTATTACACATACATACAATACATATTTGTATAGGCTAGATATATATGTTAACATAAACATTTTTTCCAATTTGTTCTATTAGGTTTCATGTATGTTTTTACTTCACATGACAATACATGTTAATTTAATTAGTACATATTACATTTGCGTATGGCATATCAGTCAGCAATAAATAAATAGATAAAAACACCATAATAGCATTATAGCACTAAAAAAAATAACTAATGAAACAAATCCTTATATAACATGATATGTTTTGAATCACAACATTTTGACGCACTGAACTTAATAGCTCATAAACTGATATGTTTTTCGACTTTATTCTAAAACTAGGTCAATACGGTTATATTTTCAGACTGTCTAATATAAAAGTGTGTGAGGCTTACGCGAAGAAGGGCTCGTCGTCGAACTGTGTCAGGAGGCTGTTGAACATCTTGCCGCACTGACGCTCCGCAGAAGGACGCGATGCGGCTTCTATCGACGCTCCACGCCGCGAGGACGCGTTCGCGTTGGCCCCGCCCCTCACAACACCGTGTGCAGTGTTGTGCATGTGTTGTCATGGAAACTCTTCTTATTAGGCTATCTGGAAACTTTCATATTTATCTCGCATTCTGTTTTCTCTGGCATTGCATTATGTCGTGCAGTGTCATCGTCTGTGTGTATAGGCTATCATGTATGTAACATTGCATGTCCTTACTCCAAAAATGTAATTTATTACTGGTTACTAGTTACTCCTTTCAAAAGTAATGTTATTACTTTACTTATTACTATCTGGCAACAGTAATTAGTTACACTACTAGTTACATTTCCTTCACGGCCAGCAGAAGTTGTAATTATGTATCTTCCCAATACAATTCTTCTAAAATGTTACTAACTGCCTAACTAATATTTCTGTTACTAACATATCATTTGACCAAAATCTACATTGGATCGGAGACAGAAGTTATTAGAAGCACTCAATGGTGATTGATGATGACTTTTAAGTAAAAGTGTAAAAGTATTAATTGTCATGTGTAGCTTGAAGCTAATTGTAGCTATAATTTCTCTGTTACCCATATATGATTATTTTTCATTAAGTATTTTATCAAAAGAAATCACATAAGTTCATAAGATTTTTAATTATAGTAATATAATTTATATGGGGATCAGAGGGATGCCATGTAATGCCAGAGTAAAGTAATGCCACAACTTACACATCTGTGTTCAGATCAGCTTTTCTCCTGACAAAATCAGTGTAATGGCAATATTTCCGTCGCCTGAATGTAAGCTTCTCCATATTCCAAGCTTTCCTGATGCACTGCTGACTTCATGTGCCTGCGCGAGCCATGAAAATATGAAAATAAATCTAGGAATTGTTGGATTTCAAATCAGTAGGGGTTGAGGCATCAAAAGTAAGCTGTTTTATGGTAACTGTAATATTATTACTGAAATCTTAGTTACACTACTTACGGTAACTGAACTGTAAAGTAACCGTCCAGACAAAGTGGCCATGAGTTTATGTGTAACTTTATAAGATTATATCTGCGCAGAGACACCAGTAAATCAGCTCTCCAGTGCATGAGGAGAGCAGGGTCTCGCTGTTATCAGTGTGTGTAAGAACATCCAGCAGGCCGGAGAGACCCGATACTCCGGCATCTGTCACACACACACACACACACACACACACA